GGCCCCTTCCTCGTCAAGTCCTCCAACCTTCGTAACGCGCGTTCACATAAGGCCTATCTGTGCGTTTTTGTGTGCCTCTCCACTAAGGCCGTTCACTTAGAACTGGTAAGTGCCCTCAGCACTGAAGCCTTTGTGGTCAAGCTGGGCCGCTTCGTATCGCGTCGCGGTTTGCCGGACCTGATCCGGTCTGATTGCGGAACGAATTATAAGGGCACGGATAGATATTTGAAAGAGGTCGTCGAATTTCTGTCCAACAACAAGACGTATTTAGGTACTGCGATGTCCAAGAAGGGCATCCAGTGGAAATTCGACCCTCCGGCTTGCCCACACTGGGGCGGTATTTTTGAGGCGGTGGTTAAGGTTGCAAAAACGCATCTCCGTCGCGTTATTGGCGAAACTATTTTGACGTTTGAGGAGCTTGCCACTGTATTCTGGAAAATTGAGGCAGTACTCAACTCTCGGCCCCTCTGTCCCCTCTCGTCCGATCCGAATGATTTGGAGGTTCTAACCCCGGGACACTTCCTGATTGGCCAGCCGCTTAACGCCCTGCCCGAGTAACCCTTCAGGGAAGTAAACTCTTCGCGGCTGAGCAGATTTGTCCTGCTGCAACAGATGACTCAGAGTTTTTGGCACCGATGGTCTCTGGAGTACCTACATCTTTTGCAGCAGCGCATTAAGTGGTCTGACAAGACGGATCCTCCTCGGGTTGGAGACCTCGTGTTTCGACCCAACGCCTTTGTATTGGCGCCGTGGACGCATTGTTAATTTGTCGTATGTATCGGATGGGGTGCCTAGGGTGGCCGAGGTTTTGGTCGGAGATTCGGTCTTGCAACGTGCCGTCGCGACCCTGTCCCGTTTACTAATCTACGACATAAGTCCTTATGTCCGGGGCGGGGGTTTGTTTAGGCAAAATATTAACCGTTTGAAAATTGAACTCATAACGCACGCTCGGAGCGTAGCGTAGCACCGTAGCAAGGTCACCGCCGCCCCTCCGCGCGCTCGCATTCCATTCGAAGTCGTGTCGAACGAAACGCGTCGAGAATCATTGTGAGGAAATACCGGTCGTAACGGACGCGTGTAGAATTATAACGTCGATTTAAGTGCCTCTCATTTGCGTTGTCTTTTTTTGTTTGTTTTACGTGTCAACGAGGCTGAATTTTGAGTTTTGAGCGATTAACTAACGTCGTTATAATTAATTAACGTCAAGTTGTATAGTGGTTGCATGCATAAGTGCATTCTGACAATATTAATTCGCGTCGACGAGTTGCTTTGTGCCATTGGATTTAACTCGGAGATATTTTAACTTTGTGACCCGCGAGAACCAGCATTCGTATTAGATTATAGATTTGTGCTAAGGGACGCTAGACTTTGAGTGACACAGAGTGACGCCGCTGGAGTGATACCACATAGGGTGGCGGTGCTGGAGTCAGGGTTGCTGCTGATTAAAAAGGGCTAATTCAAATTAACAAATATATACACTTCTCACACACTACTTACATTCACTACACCTAACGCCTGAACGAGCCTTGTGGTCCGTCTTCGCTTCTGAACCAGGTAAGTCGCATTAAGTACCTAATCCATATATATTAAATATCCATAGGCATTTGAGCCCCACACTTAGTTGTCCGTCGAATCTAACAACTGTAAGGGCCCCTGTATGGTCGACCTTAGTCTGGGCAACTAGGTGCGTGTACACCAGCCGTGCTAATATTTCTTGGGAACACGTCATCGAGTATCGGAACAAACTTGTGTCTGAAGTCGAGTCTTCAATAAACAAAAGCAGGAAGAGCGGTGCCGCCGGGGACTGGGGGCCGTTTATTAGTGTCCTTGCTCATGTTGCCACATATATTGCCATAGTTGCCACGCTTGGCGAGCGGATTCGCAACCGCAATTTTTTTATTGCTTTTTGCTGTTATCAGAAAGATGCTGCTGCCCATCTTCTGCCTCAATCTAAATTGCTGAGATTCTTATAATTATTTTAAACGTTAGATCATTGATGGCCAAAGCGAATAGCAATAGCAGACATACATGTTTATGGAAAAATACATATTGATTAAAAATAAATGTGTACTTTTTTTCCTCAATTTCTCAAAATTTCTATATTTTTGCATCTTTTTTGGGAAAAATACTATATTTGTTCATAAAAAAGGTGGCAGCCCCTATCCACAGCACACAATTTACTTTATATAGAGAGGTCGTATCAAAGAGTATAGGGGTCGTATCGTACTGTGACATTTCTATATTGTGACGTTAGTACTTTTAGCCATTTTGCTTTTAGTTTCATCGAACACAATAAGCTAAAATGCAATAGTTATATAGTCTATAGACAAAGGCCGCGAGCTATAACAGCAAGAGAAAATAACTAGAGACCGTTTTAACGTCTGCAGCGATGTCATTGCATCTGTATTTTGGATTCTTCATCGAGGATAAATGTATGAATCTACGAGCCGTAGAATTCACTTGCAGACAAAAAACTTATTTGACACTTAAAAAAATAGAAGTTTCTCCAAAGTTAAAGCTTACAGGCCATTGTAGCATCGATTACTTGCTGTTTAACTACCACAAAATTTACCGGTTTTCAAATTATTCGGCTTTTGTAATGTAATCTGTCTTAGCTTCTAGATAGAGATTTATAGAATATTCTAAACAGGAATGCCAATACGAGGGCGGCACTGAAAATTTCGGGAATCGAGGAAGTGGCACAACATTACTATTTAAAAATGTATTTATTGCTTTTCGAAGTATTCTCCGCGAAATTTAACACATTTTTCCATACGATGGAACCAATCATTGAAGCAACCATTCCATTCGGAAGTTGGGGTCTCCAAAATGGCCGTTTTGTAGGCGTCCACAGCTTCTTCAGGTGATGAAAATTTCTGACCACGCAATTTATTCTTTATTTTAGGGAAAGTATAGAAATCATTAGGGCTTAGGTCGGGGCTGTACGGCGGATGGTCTAATAATTCTGTCTAATAATGTTTTCTTGCTCTAAAAACTCTTTTGCTCTGTGTGCTCGCATTGTCGTGATGGAGGATGATGCGGCGGTTGCAGTTCTCTTTACGGAGTTCAGAAACGACCTGTGGCAAACAAATGCTAGCATACCATTCTGCATTAATCGTTCTTTGTCCCTCAAGAGGAATAGTCGTAACATGGCCGGTTTTGGAGACAAACGTGGCCACCATTTTTTTTGCAATACTCCGTGAACGAATAATTTTTGTTGGCTTTAACTCATTTTCGAACACCCAAACTCGTGACTGGTTTTTTGTTTCGGGTTCGTACGCATATATCCAGGATTCGTCACCTGATACGATGTTGTATACAGCATTTGAGGATCCTGCGTGGAATCTTTCGAGAGTTCTGACGCACCAAGTAACGCGAGCCGCTTTTTGCTCTTCACAGAGCGAATGCGGTATCCATCGGGAAAACAACTTTTTTACACCTAATTGTTCATGCAAGATTATTTGTATTTGACTCATGCCAATGTCTAAAGTTGCCTGAATTTCGCGATATGTCACATGTCGATCTTCCTCAATCAGCTTACGCACAGCATCAACGTTTTCTTGGGTGACAACAGTTTTTGGACGACCTTGACACGTCCACGTTGAAAGTCAGCAAACCAACGATAAATTGTGGTTTTGGATGGGGCTTCATCACCAAATGCAGAAATCATCCGGTCAACACACTGTTTTTGTGTTAAACCAGTTCGAAAGTCATAATAAATCATCGCTCTTGAATTTTCTCGAGTCAATTCCATTTTCTCAACGACTAAACAAGTTTGACAAAACCTTGTGACAAGACCGAGAATCTTTTTTTAAATAAATAAATGGTATTCGATTTTTAAAACCAAGGACTTTTCAATTAAAAAGATTTTAATATGACAGGAATAGTGGAAATATTCTATTCCCGATACTTTTAATGCAGCCCTCGTACTTGTTGAAATACTCGTCGAAATAGTTTTTGTTTAGTGTTTAGTATATTTAATTGTAGGATAAAATAGTTGAAAAAGTTTTAATGTAATTTAAGAATTATACTTATATGTGTTTATTACCTATCTATTTGATAAATTATAATGGCAAAACGTCGTTCGTACTATAATTGTTGCGGGGATGGATATGAGCATTTAAAAGGATTCAGATATATAATTTTTTTAAGTTACCGAAGGATAATGAAAAGTAAATTTATTTCATTTTTTTTGTTAGATAGGTAGGTACTTATACGAAAAAATAATTAAGTAATAATTTAACTACAGAAGTACTTTATTACCTAAGTACTTTATTACAAAACTTGTTGAAATTTACTTCACTACCCAAGTAGGTACCTACTTACATACCTATACTCGTCTTTGTAATTAAAATATTTTAAGTTATAATAGCACAAAATACTAAAATTAAAACTTTACAAGATTTTCAACTAAGTAGTTTACGATCATATTTCTGTTAGGAATCGTATTTCGGGTTTATTATGTTGTTTACGCTATCTACCTATACGAACCAAGCATCGCGATTCCCGGCGAATGGCCTTGCAAGTTGCATGCGTTGGGCATCACAGAACTCACATAGTAGATAATATGGTCGATTATAGTCAGCTTAGGTACTTTACCAAGTAACTTACCGTTTCACAATGTATTTTTTTACTCTTTATTAACAGCCCTTAGCAACCACAGAGTCCGTTGTGACGTAGTAAGGAGAAAACATACCAAGTAATACGGACCCTCGCGCGCAGGGATAAAGTTTTATTTAGCTTGCGTGCGCGATTTATCTGATTAATAATAACTATGTAGGCTATTCATTAAAACGTCGGCAAGCAGTCAACATCAAAAGAGTGCAACTTCTGTACTTATTTATTCTGTGTCTAGGGCTTCATCACCACTTACCACCAGGTGGAATTGTAGTCAACCAACCACGGCTTAAAAAGTATATAAAATAGGCCACTATCCATCTTAGGATCCTGTAAGGTATAACCGGATAAGGGAAAGGGTAAAAGAAAATTATACTAACAAGGGAATTTTACGAAATTTTATTGGAAACAAAATAATAATTATGCTATATATTGCACGTGACTCGAAGTCGCTAGATTCACACACGTTTGAGCAAAACCCACTTACACTTACAATATGTCAACTCAACTGAACACGGCGAAGTGATCCGAAACCACGCACGGCTGTGATTATGTAAGTTGTAATAACTTAACACAGCTTAGTCATGAACAGCACAGTACAGATAACAAAGCCCCACGTGGTAATGGACGACCTCGATATATTTTCATTTACACAGACAAAATTGTGCTTCGGAGTGTCACAACATCGGAGTGGTAACCTGTCAACCAATCGGGCTCAAACAGCAAACAACACAGGAATGTTAGCAGTTAACAGGCTTGTAAAATTGTACCGGCACAGATTTGGAGCATAGATTAAAAGGTTTACAGATTAAACAAAAGTGAGATATGTTTTATTACATGACAAAATAGATGAAATAGAAACCCTTTCATCTAAAATTTCTTATTTCATTTATTTTCTAAATTTTCAAATGATACGCAAATGGTCAAATACCCAAACGCTACTCAGTTTTAAATACTCACTGTTCGGTGTCCAGGTACAATAGTAAGACGGTAGCAAAGACCTATATGTGGGTCACGGGACAGTGAGTGTTAAGATTTAAGTGAGTGTTAAGTGTCGTGGTGTCACAGTTTCTTTGACTTAAAGTGATAGAGACAGCACAATACTTAACGGCATCTTAAAATGTAGTAGCGTTTGAGTATTTGGGCAAAAAATATTTAACGTAGAAGTGTCATGGCATCCTTAAACCAAACAAATAATTGGTAATTATTAAATATTTCATTTACAATTGCTTATTTTAAACAATTTTACTGAATTCAATTTTCCTAGAGCAAACCATAGTGAGCGTTTAAACAGAATTTTAGACATTCATTTATATATACAGTTCTCAATTGTTGCCAAAGATCACTAGGCTACTTTAACATGAATATTCATATTTTACCAATTGTCAAACTACTGTCAAAACGCTCCTACAGATTACAAAATACGGTGTATAACAAAAATATTCAACTGATGCTATAATTAAATAAAATTATCTTAATTTACATTTTGCGACATTTTCGTAATACATTGTAGCGCCTGGGTTTTGAACACAACGGAAATACACTTACACTATGGTCCCTTTCAACTTGGGTGGGGGGAAATATACAACCGAGTCGATTCGCAAAATAAAGTCATAAATTACTTCAAATATAACATTTAAATATATATCAGCAAAGGCACCTAATGTGTTTGTGGTAACACTATAACAATCACATAATTCAACAAATATTTAAAATAAAACTTAAATGTTCATGGCAATCAATTTGAGGCCACCGTATTTTTAATTTGATAATGATGATATCATTGTGCGCAGCTTGAGTAGCATTCATGTGAGTTGAAGGAAGAATTTTAATGTTTAAAAATATAAGTTGCTTTACTGAAAATTACTGCAATAGTGGGGCTGCAAAGCTCCCGTGTTATTACACAACAAATTGGTACCTACACTTAATATATTTCTATGTCAGCATACATTTACTACCCAAATTTAAATCTTGTAAGACCTTAGAGTAAGTGGAAGTATAACGAATCTCGCTTCGTTGAGTTTTCATTTCATTTCCAGTCTTAACAACATGATTGAATTAACAAACAAAATGTGGTATAATCAAAAGGCTCGTATATATAATCTAGTAAAAAGGAATAATAATAAAAAGGTACAAATGGCAACACTGTCACAATGTACGTCAAAAGCGGACGGACACGGCATTCGCTCTGTTTAAAGGCTTTCGGAATATTCTAGTGTGACTAGGTATGCAACACATATGAATTGAATCTTATTGAAATTTCGTTCGACACATGCTATATTTAAAACCTTTTTTCAGTTTTAGCAAAATATAACTGCACACACTTGACAGCTACCTAACTGACATTGACAGGTTGTTGCATATCAGTTTTTTTTTTTATTTGCCTTTATATATATAAATTACAACATTTACAATTAAATGCCTTTACAGTAGATTTCGGTAGAACTACCGATTCAGCGCAACATAATATTCAACGTCGCTCTAGACGAAGAAAACGATATTCAAAACTCCATTAAATCAATTTAAATTCTGTCATTGTCTTGACTCTCCGTTTTATTATGCTTTACGTCGTCCGGAATTTAAAAAAAATTAACAACAAAAAACTACCAAAACAAGGAAAACTAAGTAACTTGTTTTTGATGCATAAATTTCAAATAAGAAACTATTAATTTTCTTAATAATATGACACAGTGTACACAAACTTTTGCAGTTCCATAAAGATAACTGAAATAGAGTCTCAAATGACAGAATAGCCAACAAAAAAACAAGGTCGCTTTGACAATTATTGTATTCAATTAAAACAATCATGTGCGCAATACATATAAATAATGCCAACAGTGACAACAAACTCTCAACCTTTACGTCCAGGCCAACATACAAGACTACACGATTTTAAATTTGCCAAATATAATGTACGTAACTTAACAATTAACTTTATAACACGTAGATGAATTTTGAATTAGGTTAAAACATTTTTTGAGTTAAATATATCCATTCATCGAGTAGTTCATTTTATTACTTGTTTTTTTTTCAATCCAAGCCTCTGATCCTTCAACTTAGCAATTGTGAACTTGCTTTTGGTATTGGTATTGTTGCCGTGTGTCCACAAAATATATTGCATGAAATTAGGCAATTATTATATAATAATAAAGCACACCTGAGATTCTTATATACCCATCTCTCTTACTTTCTCATTTCTTTTTAGAGGTTATTGTTCACCCAAGCTTCAAAAGAAATTACATGTATCTCGTGTTTACAAAGTGATATGGAGCATTTTACAGTATGAGGTAAGTTAGGTTGATATAAAATTATTAACTACAAAACATACTCTCTTCCCACCAACAGTAGCAGTCTTCGAGAAAAGTTCTTCTAGAAGATAAAGATGCAGAATATGCACTTAGTTTTTACCCATTTATATAACTATGTCATATCAAATCATAGTGTAAACTACCCTCATATCAACTCCATTTCAAAACATCTAAGGACAATCAAACAGTAAATAAACAACATTCGCTCTCTCGCTCGCACAACAAACACTCACTCGCACGTGTCACGCACAACCTCATTGTTTAAATTTCTTCAATTATGTAACTAAATTTGCAGTTGGTTTGTGCTGTCCGTGTATTTAAAATTTCAGGTTGGAATATAACTCCTTTCGTGTGTATATTTTGATTTATATGATATATTTTAGTGATTACCTTTAATAACCTTTAAAATGTCGTAACATATAAAAAAAAACTCAACAACAATTGGCACAAAATTCTGTAATGAACGAAACCCTAACATTATTTTCTTTTTGTCTAAGCTTGAACTTTGTTAATACAAATTAATTATGGAGTTTTCTAAGACACATGGCCAGCACAAAACAACCCTGGCTAGTCTAGTCGCACAAGCGACCGCGTATATGCAGCCACTATAATACTATATCGACATATTGACAGCTCGTGGCGTCATACATCCGTTTACCGGGTTTTTATGTTTGCCCCTCAATTATCTAAAATACTATTGCGACCTATCTGCTCTATACTACTTTACAATGCAATTAATGCCAGGGAAATATTACCCAAATTATCGGCGAAGTTAAAATACGACAGTAGCCTAAGGGTTAAAATCGAATGTCGAAAGTTCGAATCCGCTATTCGACTACTACTGTCGTGAGCCACTACTAGCACAATTATTTTAAGCTAAGTTAACCGGAGTGTTTGTTGTATTAATAACACTGCTATATTTTTTTTAATGTTGGGAAATTCTGTAGTATGTAATAGGTAAAGCCTAGATTTCACTCCATTCCAGGGAAAGTACTATCTTACTGATTATGTATTTTGCACATTATAAGAATTATTCCATGGTATAAATTGTCAAATAACATTCATAAAAATATACCTATCTGGATATCATAGCTACCTCTGAATAAAATTTTATAATCAACTCACTTTTCCCGGTAAAATAAATGATGAATGAATGATTTTGTACAGTTTTTAATCACAAACCGGTTTGTATATAATAAAGGTTTGAAAATAGCATTTCATAGGTACTGTGTCACAGTCCTTAAGAAAACATAGAGAGCAGTTGTTTAAACGTTTCACGTTCAAAGTCGTTCAAACTAAGTGGCAAACATTAAAACTAGTAAAAATAAGACATCACAGTCAAATTTATAACGGTCTAAGCTGATATCCACCGACAGACGACGTAAAATCGAAGCAATATCACAAACATCTAAAACTATAATTACTTGGATATTAACTGTTTATTGATGACTGCCTGGATACATGACCAATAACAGAGAGGATGACTGATACAAGCCCAACTGTGAGCTTCTCTGCCCTAGAGAAGTAGTAAATTGGAATAAAATTTAGTAACTAACTGTACTTTGTTTATCATAAACAAAGCTCTGAATAATAATCCTCTCTAACCCTGTTTTATATGAACTTTGTCAATATATGAAATAAAACTAATTTCATACTTATTTTGTCGCGTATATCTTTAATTTTTTTAATTCCCGATGTTTCGGACACCCATGGTCACACCAGTGGTGTCATAGTTGAGGGTAGTCATCGTTAACTATGACATCAGGATGTCAAACACCACAATGCCACCTATGACCATGGTGACATATGTAGTGCCCGAAGCATCGGGAATTAAAAAAGTTAAAATTAAACACGATAAAATCCGTATAAAATTTGTTTTATTTCATGTGTAGTTATCGCGTATATATAAAAAATCATTATTTATCAACATAATTTTTTTTGTACAATAAAAAACAACATGAGAAAACAAAAAACCAGGTATCAAGATACCTTAAGCCATTCAGTAGACAACAGTTCAACGGAAGAGTTGCTCTTGTTTGTAAAGATGTTTGTTTGGTTGCTATTCGCTACACTGTCGGTGTCAGCGCGATACGGTGCCGTCGTCGGTGCGGCGTGGTAGTAGATACGCAATATAGCTTAACGCCACCTGCAAATAACATAAGAATTTAGAAAGTTTCATAAATTTTATAAGTGGTAGAGCCACCCTACAATTAAGTTATGACTATAGAACAAATGGGTTGGCTCAACCGAGTAAAGACCACTCTCAAATAGCAACTTAGTGCTGTGTGTCATATGGTGTGTGTAGAGAACCAGAGACATTATTTACTGGAATTGAAGCATTTCAACTTAGTCCACAGGGGTGATATACCTACATTTTAATTCATAATCAATGCAGATGACTATGAACCACAGTATCCATTCAACATTAGGTGAGGTTAATTATTTATTAATTAATTTATTATTATGTTTCTCGTAAGTAGTTTTTTATAACTGATGTGACAAACGAACTTATAGTCCATTTGTTAGTAAATGTCTACTGCAGTGCATGAACATCTGCAGTCAACTTCAAACAAAGAAAACTACGGATGCGTTGTCAACTCCGGAATTAAAGATAAAATTGCCTCACAGCCTGTATCCAGGATCTTTGTGCCCTTCAAATCGGAACACAGGAGTGCAAACATGGCTAGTGTGTGAACAAGTGCTTGTTTGCGTGCAACATTATATGCGTGCGTGTGTATAGGACGCTTTTTCTTATCTATTGAGCGTAAAGCGTGGTGTACTATGACTTGTACAGTGAGTATATAGTAAGGTGTACTGTAACATGTACAGTGAACGTACAGTAAGGTGTGCTGTGACATATATACTGAGTGTACAGTAAAGTGTACTATGACGTATACAGTAAGTGTACAGTATGGTGGACTGTGACGTGTACAGAGAACGTACAGGGAAGTATATATACTATGATGTGTACAATGAGCGTACAGCAAGTACTGTGACGTGTACAGTGATCCTACAGTAAGGAGTACTATGACGTGCACATCGAGTATACAGTAAGGAGTACTGTGACATGTACAGTGAACATACAGCAAGGTGTGAACATACTGTGACATGTATAATGAACATACAGCAAGGTGTACTATGACGTGTACAGTGAACGTACAGCAGTGTGACATACAGTGACATATTTAATGAAAGTACAACGAGGTGTACTGTGACATATACAGTGAATGTACAGCGAGGTGTACTGTGACGTGCACAGAAAGTATTCAGCAAGGAGTACCGTGACGTGTACAGTGAGCGTACAGCGAAGTGTACCGTGACGTGTACAGTGAGTGTACAGTGAGGTGTACTGTCACATGTACAGAGAGTATACAGCTAGAAGTACTGTGACGTGTCCAGTGAACGTACAGCGAGGTGTAATGTGTTGTGACGTGTACAGTGAGTGTACGGCGGGGTGTACAGTGACCGTACAGCGAGGTGTATTGTGTTGTGACTTGTACAGTGAGTGTACGGCGAGGTGTACTGTGACGTGTACAGTGATCGTACAGTGATCGTACAGCGAGGTACTGTGACGTGTACAGAGAGAGTACAGCGAGGGGTACTGTGACATGTAAAGTTTACGATGACGTGTACAGTAAGGAGAACTGTGACGTGTACAGTAAGGAGAACTGTTACGTGTACAGTTAGCACACAGTGAGGCGTACAGTGAGGTGTACTGTGAGGTGTACTGTGAAGTGTACTGTGAAGTGTACAGTGAATGTACAGAAAGGAGTACTGTTACGTGTACAGTGAGCGTACAGCGAGGTGTACTGTGACATATACACTAACCTTACAGCTAGGTGTATTATGACGATAATAACAATAAGTGTACAGTTAAGTGTACTATGGACGTGTAGAGTGATGTGCGCAGTTGAATTTACAATACAAGCAAGGTGTACTAACATGTTACTAAGTGAGCAGTGGTGTGCACTGTGACGTGTAGATTGAGGTGCAGAGTAGTTTACAGGTAGATTGTACTGTGAGGTTCGCAGCTGAATGTACAATCAAGATGTACAGGAAGGTGTACTGTGTGGTGTACAGCGAGCAGCGCAGTAGTGCAGTGAGAGCGGGAGTACTCACAGCACTTGGTGCGGCTGCAGCGCGGCGAGGTGTGCGGGAGAGGGCGGCACACCGGGCGGCGCAGGCGGCAGCAGCGTCTGCGCCAGGCCCTCGAACCGACCGCTCGCCTCGAAACCGTTCTGCTGGGGACGACATATCTAACGTTACCAACATAATGCGCGTTCGACGAGGAATCACGTCATGAGGACGTGTAGCGACGGCTTAGTAATTGAATAGAATAGAATAATTTTATTCAACACTAGATGTTACCCACGACGACTTCGTCCTCATCATCATCATCATTACATCCCATCACAAGTCCACTGCTGAACATGGCCTCCCCTAAGAAATGCCACATAGCACGGTGCCGGTTGCCCGATGTCCCGCCGCATGCACTTAAGAGATGTCTGTTCAGTTGCCTGTATCCTGTCAAATCTGTTGTAGACTGCAGCTTCGTTTCCCGTCTAACAGCCATGAGAGTAAGAGTGTGATCGGAGTTTTTGTGTTCTTCTGCGGCGGGAACTTAGCTACGACCGCATGAACAGTTACCACCAGCTTGTCATTCATATCGTCCGCTGCAATGCAATTTTCTAGGCACTGATAACGGTTTTGTAACTCGATCTGAAACGTTTCGGGACTTTGGATTAGAGCACGAGGGGGACGGAACGTTGACTACATTAAACGAAACCTCTCCAACTTTACGTTTAGGTTCAGTGTACCTCTAACCATTCGGTGATCGCTACCAGTTTTCACCCTCGCGATCACTGGAGTCATCACTGAACAATTGCCGTCTAGTCGTCATTTGTTCAGTGATTATTTGTCGAACCGTTGGGGTCGACCAGTTCCACTTTCTGTGCGGCCGGTATTGGAAGAAAGTTTTCAACATAATGTCCCTCTTTCTCCATGAAGTCGGCTAGCTGCTGGCCCCTTGGGTTCCGTTGCCCTATTCCAAATTTTCCTACCTTCAGCTCACCATTCTCTCTTGTCTAGTTTTGCGTTGAACTCTTCCATTAACACCGTATAGTGGGTTTTGGAGGAATGCAGCGCTTTAAAGATATCCTCATACATTTCCTCCTCCTCCTCATCGGGATGTACCGAGGCTGGTGCGTAAACCTGTATGACCTTAAACAAATACCGTTTGGTGATTCTGAGTATAAGGTACGCAGCTCTCAATGGCACACTCACAATCTTTATTGTTAACGAAAGACTTGTGGATGATAAGTTGCCGGATTCGAGGATTACCGTGTCCTCCCCCTCTCTTCGGACCTCGGGTAATTCTATAATATGTCAGCGTAACTTGTCTATTCTTCCAGCTCAGGGATCTTATCGTCAGTCCTCAGGGTGCGTGCGTTTTATGTTGCCATGTCGAGTCGTCTTAGGTGGCAACCGAACCTCCACCGGAGATTCTTAGCACCTCCTGCCCCGCCGTTACCATAGTCGCCACTGTAACTATGAATAGGGAGCCGCCGGGGACTGGGGGTGTACTATTTGTAACTCGACTTCGTCAGCGTGAAATTTATTGGATCGGAACGCGGACCCTTAAATATTTTTCTGAAATAAAAGTAGCCAAGTCACTCCTCATAACATCAACTATATGCCAGTAAAAAAGCCGAAACTAACAGACAGACAATATCTAGCAGTGTATTTATGATAGGCAGTACTGAATGAATGACCCAAGATCATAGTCAGGATCACTGAGTGAATCAACTGAGTGATCAACTGAATGAATTCAAGGTCAATAACCATTGTACTATTCATACTGTTTAAACTTATTTCTTAAGCTTAGGTCCGTGGGATGATTGAAGGCAACTAACCGGTATCATGATAGTGGGACGCAGAGGCTGTATCGAGGGCTGAACTGCAGTCGGATAGTACGGGTAGTATTGTACCGGGTAGCCGATATATCCGGGGTATCCAGCTGCAGCCGCATACATGGCCGCCGCGGGGCTATACATCTGTAAAACAATTTAGTTAGTAGAACCATATTGCGAATTAAAATACTAAAGGAATATTTTTATTGTACATCTTTCACATCACGACATCCGGCATCCATGACGTTTTTTTCCACCAGGGGGGCAGGTAGGGCGAAAAAATTAATTTGTTAGTAAATATTAAGGATTAATGTTTTTTTCTTTAATATTTGTTATATTTTATATTCATGTATAATAAATTGTATAATTAAATTATATATTGTGAATAAATTAATCTACAGATATTTTTAAAACTAGAAATATAAAAAAAAGCGTTAAAAATGAGAAAAAATATTAAAGAGCAAACAACTGAGCCCTTATTTTGTGTATTTATATAACACTTGCGACATCTGGTAAAGGGAAGATTATTAGTCCTCATTGACAATATATTATTTGACAATAAATTGTCAATCGTGGTTTGTTCGTGGTCAATTTTGGTTGAGTTTGTTGTGTACGCACGGGCAACTGTTGGCTTAACGCTGGTATGGCCTGGTGGTGTTGCAGCTGGTCGTAGGGCGGGGGCGCATACACGCCACCGGCACCCGCGCCAGCGCCGCCGAACGCAACGCTGTACGGTGATCCGCCTGCCACTGAAAATAAATGTAGTATTAGAGTCTCGGTTGATAAATAGCCTAACTATTAAATCTCATGAACTATAAGAGAATAAAAAATCTCCACTAAATCTAGGCTTCAAGTGGTTTTCAAGATTGAACTACTTGCCCATAAACCACTATTATGGATTGTAGCACTTTAAGTTGTGCACGAAGACAGTGGTAAAAACTAATTTCATCTTAAAATTTGATGTCTCTATTTCTCTGCTCCCATGCTTCGTATATAAATCGTTTTTAAAAAAGGTATTTTATATTCCTACTCGTGAAAGCGTTAGAATTTTTACTAAATGCAATAAAAATGATTAGTGATACAGCTTATCTAGTGCTGTATAGGACACAATTTGGCTTCGTTAACGAACTTTCATAATTAGTTTTTTAACAATTGAAATCAAATTATTAGATAATAAAATATGGAACAACGCTAGTTATGTCACTGTCCCATATTTTGTTCATTCTATATTCAAGCAACCTAGCGGTTATAACGTATTGATTTTATGTAGGGGTGACTAAGTACTCACTAGAAACGTTGACACGGTTTTAAGAGCGCAGCGCCTCTAAGTGCAGTAGAGATGCAATAATTTGATTTACTACTGCAAAAATTATGAAGACGTAAGCCTTATACAAGCAAATTAGATTACACTAGCTGGCACAGATCTCGACGGGTTTCTTTACCCAATGACTTTGAAGAAAACTGATTGTATAATAAGTGTGTAAGTGTAATGTTCAAAATCTACTACATTATGCGATTTATTTGTTTGCGATTAGTTGTGAAACATAAAAATAATAGTAGAAAGGGTAAAACGGTCAAGACAATAGTTTTCCTGATCTACTTTAAAATAACCTAAGACTTAATAGAAACCTGAAACCTTGTAGTGGCGTATATCCACTACGTCATAACGTCCGGAGCCGGAGACGAGAAGGAAACAAGCCAGGATGTCGATTTACATAAACACTCACGCCTGTCACCCAGAGGGGTAGGCAGAGACTACGGACTTCCATTTGGCGCGATCCTGACACACCTCTCTCGCCTCTTTTACATCCATATATCTACGCATACACGCTCGTCGGTTAAGGGTACTCCTAATCTGGCCCATTTTTAATGTATCGCCGATTTGGTCGATAAACCTTCGTCTAGGGCGTCCCTTCCCGACCCTGCCGTTCACTTCCGCAACATAAATTTGCTTTGTCACTCTTTCCTCGTTCATTCTTTCTACATGACCAAACCACCGAAGCATTCCTTTTTTAATCCTTGTCACAACGTCATCTTGCAAACCACACTTTTCTCTTATCACACTATTTCTCACCCTGTCATTCAGATTCAGCCCTAGCATACTCCTTAAGGAACGCATTTCTACAGCATTTATTCTACTCTCATGCTTCTTCTGCCAGACCCAACTTTCACTACCATACATTAAAGTAGGGACTAACACAGCATTATGAATTGCCATACGTGCCTTAGTTGACACATTCTGACTCCTCATAATAGCGTGTAGAGCCCCATTCACTCTATTTCCTGCGTTCACTCGTCGTTCTATATCCTTATCATATCTACCATCCCTGCTAAATAAACATCCCAAATATACAAACTCATCCACTTGCTCAATCAACTCCCCTTCTATTCTTATTTCACATAAAGTTTTACTTTCTTCTCTTTCAAAAACCATCACTTTCGTCTTACTTGCGTTCACTTTCATACCCCTTTCTTTCAATGACCAATTCATTAAAGTAACCATCATTTGCAATTCGGCCGCCGACGATGCAAATATGACTTGATCATCGGCGTACAAAAGGCATTTGACGGTTGACTCACCCATTCTCAACCCACATTCTTCAACTTTCAAAGTTTGCAAACAACTGTCCATAAATAAGTTAAACAGCCACGGGGAAGCCACACATCCCTGTCTGACACCTTTATGAATGCCAAACCAGTCAGAGTAGACCCCGTTGATCCTGACACAAGCACTAGAGTCCCTATAAAGAGATCTTAATGCCTGTATCAAGCCAGCGCTCAACCCAAATGTGTTCAGTGTTTGCCATAACACATTCCTGTCCACTCTGTCATAAGCCTTTTCCAAGTCCATGAACGCACAAAAAACTTTCTGGTTTTTAGCCAAAAACTTCTCCGCTATCATGCGCATGGAAAATACTTGATCCGTACACCCCATCCCCTTTCTAAATCCAGCTTGCACATCCCAAATTTTTCCATCAGTTTCTTCCATAACTCTTTCAATTAACACCTTAGCATACAGTTTACCCACAATGCTAAGCAAGCTGATACCACGGTAGTTTTTACAGTCCTGCTGCGACCCCTTTCCCTTATATATTGGGACTATAACGGCTTTGCACCAGTCTTCCGGTACCCGTTTCAGTTCCCAACATAAATTAAACAAGGTGTGCAGCAGGCCTGCAACCACACCCTCACCAGCCCTTAGCATTTCGAGTGATACTCTATCATATCCGGCTGCCTTACCTGCTTTCATGCTTTTCATTGCTTTCATTATTTCATCTACACTTATCTCCCTACCTCTCTCCACTTCTTCCGGAATTTCTATTTCACTTATTCCAGACGACTTTTCACTCTTAAACACGCTTTCAAAGTATTCCTTCCATCTCTTTAAATTCGAAACTTCATCATTCAGCATGCAGCCATTCTCGTCTCGTATAGCATTTATTCTAGGCTGTTTTGAATTTCCCCTGGCAGTTCTTACGAGCTTCCAGAACATTTTAATATTTGCCTGGAAGTTATCAGATATCCTTCTATCATTCTTATCTATCCTTTCTTGCTTTTTCCTTTCAACAACTTCTTTTACTCTCTTATTTATACGTCTAAAGTCTGCCTTTTTTCTTTCAATCTCATCATTCATACCGCCAGAAAAGAATGTCGATTTATTTTTTAAAAACAATATAAAAAGAATATTGACTATGCTCATATTTCTTTTATTTTACTTTTTATGTTCGTTAATTTGTTCGCTAATTGCGACAAACAGCGGCGGTATAGTCAAATTTAAATAATTTTAGGACTAGTTTTTAATTAAAATCTACGTAAGTTATAGGAAAAAACAAAAAATTATAATGGGGCAGTGACAGATTTTTTTTTATATAGGATAGGGGGACAAACGAGCACACAGTCCACCTGATGGTAAGTGGTTTCTGTGGCCTGTAGACATCTACATCTATCATTATCACACTAACGTAAAACAAAATACCATCACATAACAAGAATGAACGAACTTAGTAATCGCTTTTTAGAATCCAAGACGATATTTTTCTTATTTACTTACCACCATACTGAGGTGCTGCCTGATGAGGTGGCGCCGGAAGGAACGGTCCCTGCGGCGGCTGCGGTTGAGGGTAGGCTCCAAGAGGGGGCGTTACTGCAACAACTTGTAGCGTCACGAACTAGTCGCCCGATGGCCGCCCGAACGACCGAGACTACGACATCTTTACAACTTTGACGAGGGTAACAACTGATCATGCTACAACGTACGGATATCTGTGCAATGATAACCCGGCAAAATTTATTTTTAGTTTTTCGTTAAGTCGCCATACCCGTTACGTTTTAACATAAACAGACATGTCACACAGTAAACTCTATATACGCCAACTACGCCATTAAATTGATTTTATTTAATATCAACCTTTTTCGCGTGGCCATTCGTTAAATAGAATCTCTGTGTTATCTAAAAGTGCTAAAAGCTAGGTAATAATTTACATTCGGTGATAAATTATGAATAATTGCTTATTTTTATATGTGACATTGAATTATTTTAATACGATATCTGTGATTTAAACTGCAAATTTTGTAAAATCATCAAAATATTACTCAGCTTATTTGTTCACCCTCGTAAAAGACAAAAGAATAAATAATCAATGTTATTAAGAACTAACAAGATGTCGGTGTTTCGATCGCCCAGCGGACCTTGCGCCGAGGCGCGCCGCAACCCAAGCCCGAGCATTCACGCTAGACGCAGCGGTGTGGTCGTAGCATTAAAATGTCGCTGAAGAAGTATTTATTTATCAAAGATCACTAATTGTTTATGTCTGCCTTAAAATACGGTTTTGATAATCAACGAACATTTTCATGCCGCTCTCACAGTGTAGGCGAACGATGAAAAATATCATAGACAATTAATTTCGTCTACACATTCCGCTGGCGTCAGTGTTAACGACAAGCGATGCCCATACAACGCGTTACAGAACCGCTGGAGTTTTTTCAAATTCATAAAAAGGTAAATATCAAAATATTGAAAAAACCCTATGCAGTGGCAACTGCCTTCGGCTCAGATTAGAAAATAGGTAGTAAACTGGACCGACGGCTGGCAACATTAATTTGGTAGGTTAATGTTGAGCGATTCAACACGGTGTGCGAGTGCTGATCACCTACCAAACGTTATTTACAATGCATTCCTTACTCTAATGATCACACCAACTTCTCACGGTTAATCGCTGCTAGTGAAAATAATGTATATATTTTTTTTATATATTTAAGCCTTGTGCAGTGTTCGAGTGAGTGTGATCATTTATCATGGTACATCTTAAGTAACAAAACAATCATCACACAATAAAGGACCTTTAAAAAATACAAGTTATATTTATAACATGACTGAAGTAATATCGATCGCATCCCAATTGTAGACATCGCTCAGGCGCGTCCCGGAGCTATTCGGTTTGGATCAATACGAGCCATTCATTACTTAAACCAGCACACCAGCATGTCTTCAAATGGAAATTGAGAGATACGGCTCATGAGCAGGTTCAAGAATGTTTAAATTACTGAATCATCATTGAAGTTCTTTATTTAACAATTTAATAAGAATTTTCGTTCACATACGGAAACATTTTTTTATAAACTGACTAGGTACATACAATTGTACATCTCTATTCTGAACCTGCAAATGAGTTACTAGGCAGGCGCAACAACATTGATTTTCTTAAAATTGTGTCCATATACACGGTGTTCCGACAATTTTTCTAATTTAACGAATTATCTATTGTTGCCTCGGCCCGTATATAAAGAGACCTGTTACAAACATGGCCGCTTTAACAACGACCATACAACGTGAATAATTCACGTCGATAACATTCCTCGAAAAATAAAAATAAATATTATAATTGGATCTATTTCAACAGCTAACTAGAATAAACTTCGTACCAAGATTTATGGTTTTAATTTTCTTAAAATTTAAATCCAAACTTTTTGTTTTCAAATGTCTTTATTTTCACAAAATTCTGCAATCATAAACTGTAAAGCAGTTATGCAAGAAGCAAGGTAAAAGAAAATGTCTATGATATGAGTGCATTGAAGGACACAGAATCATGCAAAGTATTAAAGTAATGTACTAAACTACTATTTTGTAATGGAATACTTGTACATAGTCATGCCTGAACCAATGTTACAACCCAAGTGTAAAAAAGACAGAACACAATCGTAAGCGAAAACTATTGCAATAAAAAACAAAATAGCCAAAAAAAAACAGCATTATTGGAAATTGGACATAGAACGCAAAAATCCTGGTAGCTTCCCTCACCATTAAACATTTAGAACTAAGAGGATTATTATTATAAAAAAAGTATTCCATTAAGCGTTGACTGGAATGCTTTTCTTAACTGCACACATAGTACTTTTTATTTCATATTCCAAACAGGCAAGTTTGTTGTCATATTTTTATTAGTCCAATATAACATCAAACTATGATAATTGCAAATATACCAAAATGAAAAACAATTAATTTTATCAGGATCCCTGTAAAAGAAGTATGAATATGATCTAGCAATTGGGTAAAACAGGATTTATTAGATGATTATTACTGAAATATGTGGATTCTAAGCCTATCGTGTTTCAGGTTCAACTTTGTGAGCTACGAATGGATATTGCTGAAGAAGTAAATAAATTAGTTATGTAAACTTGCATACTTCCCTGTCCTTCGAATAAGCTTATACATGCACTTGTCCATTGTTTCAAATATGAAACTATGGACATGTCATAGTGGAGATTACTCTGCAGTTTTCCCGTAAAAGTAATATCCACTGTTGCCTTACACTAGTAATAACACACGCACTAACAATTGTGTCATTCCCTTAACATTTTGACTCATATGATGTGACCAACGACCCTTTCAAATAACGGCTTGATAACTTTATAATAGCAATAGTGATGAAAAGACTAATGAACAATGAAGCTAATTTATGAAAGAGAAGGGTAAAATGGTCATATTTAGACTGCACAACATATAATGGACTGTATTTATGCAATCTAAAGTAATGTTAATTTTAACTTACTTTTACAAACATACAACTAAAAAATGGCACGATTTTTGTTCGCAAATTGTTTATGATGCAAAAATAGTGCCAATTTGACCATCACCTTAGATAAAATTACACAAAAAGTACCACAAAAATCTTTAGGTGGTGAAAAAAAAATGGAAATTATTGGTGAAAAATTAGTACTTCAAGAAAACACAGTAAAGATTTTTGTGTAAAAAAAAAAGACCAAATAAGGTTAAGGTATGATTATAATCACCTTATTTGTTCTTTTGTTAGTAAAACACTCAATCTTAAATAAATTTTAGAGTTAAAACAGATTCCAGACTTAATCAAAAGAATGGAATAACTGTGACCATAATCTAGCACAGATAGATTTGATTGTGCTAAATAATGTGGAATCTTAAAATTGGTGTGATTTTATGACTCCACTGTAAAAATGCAATGACGTGGACTACTACAATTTAAGAATATAAGAATTTGTTTCCAATCTTCCAGTAAATGTTAGATTTCAATTAATATTGTTTTTCCACATCATTTCCTTTTACTTATTACTTAATTATATCTTAAAAACTGTAACAAAACGGAACAAACAAAGATATCCCTATTCCAAAAAAAAACGCAAATAGGGATTCTTAACAACAATGAGGCAAGAGTAAGTGTTCATTAATAAATTAAAATCTGTGCCTCAATGTTGTTGGTGCATGAAGCTGGATTGTAAGATTGACCACCTTCTTACTATTTAATAAGACAATGAGACTTATGGTCAATAATACTAACCAAAGTGTAAAAGAAATAGTAAAAAAATAAGCTGTGAACTAAATATTGAAAGGTAACAGAAAAACAGGAGCAAAAACACATATTTAATGTAGTAATTATTATTCAAAATGTGGCCTGCGGTTTCTTATTTTAATAAATTAAGTGCACAGATTATATATTTTGTAAAACCACAGGACACATCAATCTTACACAACTTACTCCTTTACGGTTAGTGGTAACTAATGAAACTGACAAGGGAGCATGTTTGTCCACTAAAATTCTGTTCACTAATCCAGAAGGACTTTAAAACACTATACAAAAATTTCAAGCCAAAAACATCTACTGTACAGCCAACCATTTAGCTTCAAGTCAAATACATCAGTCCTGCCAGAAGAGTTGTTATTTGTAATATTTTTAGTTGTTATGTTATAATTAGTTGTTGTATGATAGATAATATTACAATGTTTTTATTAAACATGCTGCATTGTCAATTTTTCATAAGTTTTTATAACAACTTGATTGTTATTTCTTTTAAGATAGCATTGATAAAATAAAAGTGAATAAACCATAATTTTATAATTAAAACAAAGAAAAGAAGACAACAATACAATCAAGTTATCATTAGGGTTACATTAGAGGTACACATACGATCGTCCACACGCCGATACGCACATATCATATATTGGTCTCTCTTTAACTATTTCCAAAAAAAGAAAAATAAATAAAGAAAAATTCTATATGGTGTCATTACATGGTAGCGATTAGTCGACGGCCGCACGGGGTCGGCGGCGCCACACACGCGGCTCCTGCAGACGAGGGGCTGGGGGGAGGGGCCGGGCAAAGGGGGAGGAGGGGAGCAGGAATCGTATTATCATTATGTCTAATAACTGTTTCTGGACAGCAACACCTGTCCTCAGGCACCTTTTAAAAAAAATACACTTCCCATGGCTCAACTTTAATATCATTGGACAGTGTGTCTATGCCTGGATTTGCATACAACAGGCTACAGACAAGACAAGGCCATTTCTCGTTAAATAAGAAGCTTATAATAAATCAAATCAAATTCAAATGATTTGCTTAACACATGTAACATCATGGAGGCCACATTTTGTATCCATTGTAACTATGCTTCATTTTTGTTGTGTTATACTGACATTGACATCTCTTTTCTACAGACTTCAAAAAGGAAACGGTACGCAATTCGACTGTATTTTTTTTTATGTGTCTCATAACTTTTTACTAGTTGAACCAATTTCGATGATACTTTTTTTATTTGAAAGCTGGTGCTTCACATGTGGTCCCATATAAATTTGATCAAGGTCTGACCAATAGTTTTTGAGTTATTCTTAATAATTTATATTGAAGTTGGTTGTACAAAACTTTTAATTTTAAATTATTTCATCATCAGTCCATGCAACAATGTTTACACTAAGTTATTAAAAAAATATACTAATACTAGTTGGCCAGGCAAACGTTGTTCTGCCCTTTCCGACGCTCCTTCCTATAAAAAAATCCTTAAATGCGCAATAAAAAATATTAAAGGTCACTTATCGGGATAAAAAATATCCTATCTCTCAATTTGGACCAAACTGCACACAGTGTGCAAAATTTAATTGAAATCAGTTCAGTATTTTAGGAGTTTATCGCGGACAAACAATGTGACGTGTAATTTTTATATGTAAAGTAGTGATGCAACAAATACTACGTTTACAAATACGAATACAAATATCTCACAATGGTAATAAAAAACTAATTTATTTGATAATATTCTATTGTTCTAATAATTAAAATTTACAAGAGGCAAATGTTTATTTAAGAAACATAAAATTTGTAGATTTTCTGGTTATCTCTTTTTTCAGTTTGGATGTTCCCAAAAACTGGATGAACATATACCTAAAAATAATTCTCTATCTGAGGTATTATATATATGTCAGTTTTATAATATCCAATAAATTAGGTCAATACATATTATATATTAGAGCAATACATAACAGTTGTTATTATATAAATGGAGACTTTAATACATTATTATTTATTTTATTTAAAATCTTTATTGTACATAAAGGGTTCAATCAATAAACTTTATGTCTTTATATTATGTGCTATAACCATCGGAATAAATACTGCACCATGTAATATTAAAAATAATAAATAAGATGAAAACATGTAATTTTATACATTAAGCAATAAGTATGACCATAAATTAACTTTATATTGCCAAACACTCAATAATGAACCAACTATCCTTAAAGCTCAATGATTTTTTAATCAGGTTTCATAATTCTAACATCTGCTTCAAAATTACCCTCTTGATATGATAAATGTACATGAAGGTACATTGTTTTACAAAACCAAATTAATAATTTAGACCAAATGTAGGTATTGCTATAAGAATTATATTCCACATCATGAGCCACGATT